TTTTTTTTACTCTTATCTCAATTTTTTCCTCACACTACCTACCTACCACTACTCCTACCTATATACGGGGAAACCCGTAACATACCAGAGCCGTGTTTTTACGGCCCCTCGGGCCTGCAGGATACCGGCCAGGGGACGGTCCGGTAGCACCAGGGATAAAGCGGACCGATCCCCCGTGCCTCCCCTCAGGCCCCTCCCCTACGAACATAGCAGACTCTGCTTGATGCCGATCGGGGGATCCAGTGGTCTATCTCTTGGGTAGCGGGTGCCAAGTAAGCCCAGGAAGGCATGAGGCCAATGGGGATTGAACCCATGACCTCCTGAATGCCACTTGCGAGCCTTACCAACTGAGCTAGGCCGCTGGATGAGTGGTAGTTTAAACCACCGGTACCTTTCCCAAGTTCGCTTTCTATCCTAATGATGCGAACTCCGCGAGGAAAATAGCACTTACCACTCCCACCACTGTCGGTGGCACTCACACTGCCTGCGTAGCGCCGCTACCCATGAGAGATTGTATTTTTCCAAAAGGTTTTGTCGACCCAGCCAAACGAAAACTCTATGATGATGTTTTATAATATAAGCAGCGACCCGTTTTAAAAAATTAAAAAAAAAAAAAAAAAAAAAAAAACTCTATGATATAAGATCCTCAGTAAAAGCAGATAACCAAAACCGACTCCATTACTTGGAGGCGAAAACTTCAACAGATAGGCCCAATTTATTCAATGTGCTTAATATGAACACACAGTGCAGTGAACCCAAATGAATAACACATCCTTGGAGTAGCAGCATCAAGAATCTGGCTAATGGAATAACACTAAGTTACAACTACGTCGTAGATACAATGCATCATGCTAATCCGCTTCAGAATCTGGCCTATACCAACGGCAAGGTACCGAAATCGAAATCACTCCGAATACCGATTTCCTCACAGCGTCTCGTAGTAGCATCAAGCTCTACCAAGGAGTGGCTGGCAGGCGTACGCTGCACAAGAATCCTTGTGAGTTGTCGGAACAGGCACGGATTTGGATGTACCACATGCATGCGACCGACACTGCTCACTGTCTGCATGCATGCGACCGACCCTGCTCACTGTCTGCACGTTAACCAACGGCGTGCATGTCCAGTTGCTCATGTATGGTATCTAAAAAGTACCCCTACTCGATTTATGCGTGTCATCCTTGCGCAGGGGCAATGCTAATCTTCTCTGTAATACTATCTTAAAAAATACCCCTAAAAAAAAGAAGGAAAAAAAAACCCTAGTCGTATTGCAAACTTTACTTGGCCAAAAGATCGGTCGTTGGTTGGTTGGCCGTCAATGCATGAACACGTAGAACCGACCGATTTGTTTTCTTAACCGAACAAGATTAGCAACCGCATCTCGATCTCCAAAGAATATTTCGAAAGAATCAAGGCTGGTTTTGTTTTTTCTTGTTTTTTTTTTTTGCCCTACCTGTCAATAGAACAATGGAAGTTTCAGTTTTGTCTTTCATTCAGCAAGCCTTAAAACATTCGATTTTTCTTCGCCGTCGATGCATGAGAACGTAGAATCGACCGATTTTTTTTTTTTTAACCGAACACGATCGTCAACCGCATCTCGATCTCCAAAGCAAATTTCAAAAGCATCGGGGCTGGTGTTGCTTTTTTTGTTTTTTTCCCCCCTACCTGTCAACAGAACAATGGAAGTTTCAGTTTTGTTTTTCATTCAGCAAGCATTAAGACATTCGATTTTTCTTCTTTTTTTTCCCATTCACAAGTGCGCGTTTCATCTCCCCTCCCCTATCTTCGGCATTTCCGAAGTCGTGTACATATTCAATTTGCCGTCGTTCAACCAAATACAACTTGCAGTAATGACGTGGTGGAATGATCAGCATTTATAAAAGACTATAGATCTAGGTTACCAGAGTGGGCGGGGACCACTTGCTCGTCCGGGCCCTAAAAAAAACTTTGATTTTTTGTTTCAAATTTGATAAGAAATTTCGATTTAACCCCGAGGTAAAAGATGTTCAGATCATTGTTCCGCATAACATTGTTTTTTTTTTTTTCAATTTTTTTTACTTAGCTAGGTTATCAGCCCGGCCGCCCAGATCACCTTTTTTGCTGGGACCTTTTTGCTGGAACCTTTGGGCCCTTAAACGGCCGGGTAATCTGGTCAAACATGGCGACCCGGGCGGCCCAGCTGGTAGTCAAGCAATAGATGCGATTTCCTAATTCGAAATTCTTTGGACGCTTTTCCGCTATCTTTTTTCGCTTGGTGAATTTCGAAGATGAACGCTTCCTACCATCTTCACCCGCGTAGAAGTCCGGTCATGATAGCTGTATCTAGACTGAAAGTTGTAAGAAATACGGCCATAATGACCGGACCTTCTGTTGGGGCAGGTGAAAAACGTAGTCGAGACCAAATACCACACAATCCTGAGCAAACAAACAAATGACACCAAACACGTCGGTAAAACTCTTGTCCTCACAAGATTCTAGAATTTTGTTTTCACTATTTTTTGGACTTTTAGCTGGCACAATTATGCACTGGATAGTCTATTACTTAGTTAATCAATACACTACATAAATCAAACAAATAGTTAAAAAATACTGTATTAGGTACAGATTCCTCGCCCGTGTATAGCATCCTGAGCTGTCCTTAGTAGAATAATAAAATAGTAAAAAGAAGAAAGTACATGATGATACATTGGGGAACGCAATGGAGAATTTCATGAAGAGTATTACTTAGTTAATCCATACACTAGCTAAATCAAACAAATAGCAAAATACTGTATTAGGTACACATTCGTCACCCGTGTATAGCATACTGAGCTGTCCTTAGTAAAATAATAAAATACTAAAGAGAAGAAAGTACATGATCATCCATAGGGGATAAAATGGAGAATTTAATGAAGAGTAATGAAAGCACAAACAGACGTTTCCAATTGTTACACTCCTCGTCAACCGACTTCGGTCGCATTGAAATTGTACATTACTTCATACAAGTGCTACACACACTCGAAGAAGAAGAAAACAGTTTTTTCTCCCTCCTTGCCCTGAAGTAACCTTCCGTCTGATCAGTTTAAGACGTGTCCGCTATTTCCTCTTCTTCCCAAACGAAATATCCAGCTCCGATAGCGCATTCCAACCCAACATAGAAGGTACGACACGGCTCTCTCCCTTCTGCTTTCGCCAAGCATCTCTCTCTCTCTCTCTCTCTCTCTCTCTCTCTCTCTCTCTCTCTCTCTCTCAGCTTTCTGGTTACTCTACCTCCGAGATTACTCTCTCTCTCTCTCTCTCTCTCTCTCTCTCTCTCTCTCTCTCTCTCTCTCTCTCTCTCTCTCTCTCTCTCTCTCTCTCTCTCTCTCTCTNTCTCTCTCTCTCTCTCTCTCTCTCTCTCTCTCTCTCTCTCTCTCTCTCTCTCTCTCTCTCTCTCTCTAGCACCTACTCCACGCAAGCGAGAAGGAGAGCGCATTCGTGGCCTTGATCGTTCCTCTACCTCTGGGATTACGCTGGTTGTTGATAGACACTCTCACGATGCAGACCAGGCCTCGGATGGTTCCACAAGTACTGGAGGCGGCGCTCGTGCACACGTCTTTGGCAAACACTGCATTTCGCAGACCTTTCGAGCCCCCGCTGAAGAGCTGCATGTGGTTGCACGCCGTCGCTCCACCTTGGTAATATGATCGCAGCGAGTATCTTGCCGTCTGCCAAGCAGCAAGATTGACGAACCCAACGACCGTAAACCTCGTCGCCGTATACTTCCATCCCCTCGGATAACTCAGTCCGACGGTCATGGTACAAGCCTTCTGGCGATTAACCAGGCGAGCTGGCACACTGACATCGAGAAGGTTGGTAAACTCCACCTTCACGAACTTTTTATCTCTGGAAAGCGTAGCTTTCGGCGACGCTCGTGGGCAGCCTGAGCCCAGCAGGCTCACGCCAGTGATGGAAACCCTTCCAGGCTGAGCGGCAGCCGGCGAACTGGCACATGCAAGGAGCAAAACCGCCATAGCCAGCAACACTGCAATCACCGATCTCTTCGCCATCGCCATCTTCCTCCGTCACCTTTCTCCTCCTGATGCAGCTCCTCGTGACACTAGCAACCGCACTGCAATACTCAAAAGCTCGATCGCTAACAAAACCCCTCACCGACGAAGTCGCAAAATCACGCGGCCAAGGACGCACGATCTCCAAGAAGGAAACGGGAAACTACCGACTGATGATTTCACCTCTCGCAAGCGAATTACAATCACGACGGCTCGATGAACAGACTTATAGGACGAATCTGGCGACAATGGTCCTCGCTCCACGACAGTAACTCTCGACGCCCGCAAACGACAAAAAGCAAGGTGGTGTATCTTTCCAGGTTCTAGCGGAAGATTCACTCTCGTTTTGCACATTTCGGATTCGGACAAAAACCAAGGTGGTGTTACCTTTCCATGTTCTAGCGGAAAATTCACTCTCGTTTTTTTTTTTTGTACATCAACATAGCAGAGAATAGGGTGAAAATAGCAGAGGGCAATTGGCCTCGGGTGCACTCCCCATCCCGAGCCATCCCTAGGACTACAGTAGTGCAGCGAGGCCCAATGTATGGGTTGACAACGGGCCTCGCCACACTGCTCCCGACTTGGAGAGAAATTTCGGGAGTAGTACTTCCGAAGACGCGAAGAAACTCATTCGGGACATCCAGCGGCTAGCTCAGTTCGTGAGGCACGTGCAAGTGGCATTCAGGAGGTCTTGGGTTCAATCCCCATAGGCCTCATGTACCTTCCTGGGCAAGCTTGGCGTCCTCCGCCTTGAGATATGCCTCGGGGGTCCCCCCGAGTGGCATTGAGCAGATACTGCTGATGCTCATAGGGTGAGGGGAGGCACAGTGACTGGCCCATGGAAGAAGTTCGGTCCTGATGCTACTGGCTGACCCCTGGCCGGTATCGCCCACCTGCTGTAGCACCTGCTTGGAGGCGTTCCCTCATTGGAGGCTTGAGCACGGATCTGGCTGCTACGGGGTTCCCCATAATACTATGATGACAATAAAAAAGGCCTGGAAAAAAAAAAAAAAAAAACCCTCCATTCGGGAGTGCCCTTCACCACACTGCACTCCCCACCCGACTTGGGGCGCTCTCCGTTCAGACAGAGACTGTCCAGCACTGTCCAGACGAAAACTGTGAGGAGAATGCTTGTCTTCACACGAGTTCTCTGGTTGAAAAACTGCGACGCTGCACTCCTAAAAATGGCCAAGTCATGGGGAGCGGTCCTCCGTAGAGTCATTTTTAACCAGGAAGGGAGAAGGGCAGGATGGTCCTAATGATTAGAGCTTGGGTTCAACCTCCTTTTTTTTTTCTATTTTGGGGAACCCCTTCTGTTACCAAATGGGACCCTGCACCCGGTTTCCAGGCTGTGTTCTTCTGTTGGGCTAAGGCTCAACTTTCCTCGGGATATTGTGGGGTTCCCCGGCCCCGGTTCCTTTGGTTGATCAAAGAAAATGTTTCTAGTGTTCTCCAAAAAAAAAGTGGCCCCCCTCTCCGTCTGGAGTAGTGTGGCGAGGCCCCAAGAGTTGTCCTGCCAGGGCCAAACTTGTGTGTGCTCTCTAAGAGGCCAACGGACAGACCGTCGGACAGTCCGCCGAGACCCAAGGGCCACCAGCAGCACCAGCGGCACTGGTTGCCTGCTGGGTGAGCGCCCAGGGCACCTGGACGTGGACGACGCACGGCTTGGGGGTATTGTGGGACGATTGAAAAAAAGCGCCCCTCCTCTCCGTCTGCCGGGGCACTTACCGACCGAAGTGAAACGGACGAAAGCTATGGTGGCCACCTTTTACGGGTGAATACATGCTCCATTTTTTAGACCTATGATTTGTGAGTCCACGTTATGGCCAGCTTGAAGTTCCTATCCAGCGGCCTAGCTCAGTTGGTAAGCCACGCAAGTGGCATTCAGGAGGTCCGGTTCAATCCCCATTGGCCTCATGTACATTCCTGGGCATGCTTGGCGCCCGCCACCTAGAGATAGCCCGTTGGTCCCCCCAATTGGCATTAAAAAGCAGTCTCTGCTGATGTTCATAGGGGGAGGGGTACTCAGGGTGGCACAGCGACTGGCCACTCAGATGATGCTCGGTCCCTCTACTACCGGCCCCTGGCCAGTGCCCCCCAGTGGGGGATCCCTGAAGGCTATGAGGCCACCCTGGGCTGAAAAGGCCACCGTTGTCAGATTAGACACAAGATTGACAGTCCGATGATAATACCTCAAGGCCATCGCCCTTTAAAAAAAAATAAAAAAAATCGGCTTGGTAGAATACCTTGCTAGTGGGATCTCTTTTGGTGTGCGTAATCTTTGGAAAAAAAAAAAAAAAAAAGGTTCCTGAGCCTGGTACGTGGCGAGACGGCAATTTTTGACTTTCCTTTTCTCAGAAAAAAAAACAGAAATGAAAAGAAAGTGGCAGCACCCCAAGCGGCGGCGTACATCTGGCCATCACTGACCATCACATCTGGCGTTATCGAAGAATCTGGGGGCCCACAACGGCTCACCCCGGGGCCAGGTCCCACTAGCAGCGTTGAGTTTCCTCAACGCCCGAATCTGGACGTGTTCGTGTAGATGTGCGGTTGAGAAAACTGCTGCGATTTCTTCACATATCCACAGACACGTCCAAATTCAGGCGTTGAGGGAAACTCAAGGCTGCTAGTGGGACCTGGCCCCCGGACACCACTACCTTCGCCTACCCCACCTTCACCCCACCCTCCCCCTTCCGACTCCTTACATCATGCCCCTGGGATAGCTACTGTTTCGCCCCGAACACAGCGGGCCGTCATCATGAATGTATCCAACGTGCCCTCATCATGCCTGTATGTATGCAAGCCGTATTTCCGGTAAAATGCATCCGGTAAAATGCAGTACCGGTAGCAATGAGGGTGCGTAGTGTTCGCGACTACCAACGGTAGCCTGGTAGCCCGACGAGACGTGACGACAGACACGACTCCCAGAACGTGTGTGCCATAAGTAACCGCAGGGGTCGGACGTTGTGTAGTACTTTTTTGTAGTATAGTATATTTCGAAGCTGTCCCAGCCAACTGAGGGCATACTCACAATAGCATTATCCTTAGTGTATATGACCGCTTTGCCGACCCGGCCTGGATGCATCTGGCTGCAATAATTGCGTCCACAGAGAAGTTGAGAAAGTCCGAGTATGAGGATGGCTTAAAAGGGTATATGCTCTCCAAACAGCCGAACTTTGTATGTCGGCCCCAAAAAAAGCCCTGATTTGGTCGAGAAACTGGGTACCTTTTCAGTGGTGCCATGCTTGTGCTATGCTATCACTAGCCTGGTCACTCGAATTCATGCCCCATAAAACTTCCAGGGGCTAGATCCAGGTGTTTTTTCCCCCTCTTTTTGTTCATCCCAGCCTCTTTGTGCCCTGCGGGATTCGCACCAAACACCAAGTTTTTTCCTTTTTTGGCTGGTGCTGCCAGCCATTTAGGTCCGGTAGCTCGGAGGCCATGAAATTTGTCGAACTGGCTCGGCTTCAATTCTTTTTTTTCTTTTTTTTTTTAAACAAACTTTGGTCTCTTTTGCCAAGTGTTGTTGGGCTAAAACCCACAAACAATTCTGGGTGATGGTCCCAGGTGCGACGACTTCATTCCGGGTTGTTTGTGAGGAATTCCCGGGCTCATGTTTCATGATAATGGATTCCTTACTTTTCCCATGGGGGAAGTAGTGGGGAAAGGAGTGATGACTCTGCTGTACAAAAAAGGGGATAAAATTAACATTAGGAATTACAGACAAATCACTCTCCTTACAGTGGTCTACAAAATCCTCTCCAAAGCCTTGGCAAACCGTATGGCGGAGATCCTGGCAGACGTGATCCACCCAGCTCATACAGGGTTCATGGCTGGCCGGAACATACAAGAGAATATTCTGCTGATAAATGAAATTGTCTGTCGACATCGGGCAAATGCGGCAATTGTCTTCGTCGATTTCGATAAGGCATATGATCACGTCGACTGGATCTTTCTGGACAAATGCTTGGAAAAAATGAACTTTGGGCCGGCTTTCAGGCGATGGGTACGCATCCTACACGAAAATGCCACCACCTGTGTACAGGTAAATGGATCAGTGGCGCCTCCCTTTAAGCTCCAGAGATCGGCCAGGCAAGGAGACCCCATTGCCCCTTACCTCTTCCTGGTCATTATGGAGGCCCTTTCGGCTAAGTTAAGACATAACAAAGATCTAGCTCGAATCAGGATCACCAATATCCCGGAGGAAG